CCGTCAAATATATTATTTTGCCAGTTGAAATTATAATTTCATGAGTTGGTTGATTATAGTATTCTGCAGATTATGTATAAGGCTCATAAATCAATGCCAGCAAGACNGAGTAGAGCCGCTGCTCCTCCACGTCGAGAGGAGCCAGTTGAGGTGGCTCGGGCATCTGGTAAGGATGCCTCCTGGACGCCTCCCTGGTGAGGTGTTCCGGGCACGTCCCACCGGGAGGAGGCCCCGAGGAAGACCCAGGACACGCTGGAGGGACTATGTCTCTCGGCTGGCCTGGGAACGCGTTGGAGTTCCCCCGGAGGAGCTGGAAGAAGTGGCTGGGGAGAGGGAGGTCTGGGCCTCCCTTCTGAAGCTGCTGCCCCGTGACCCGACCCCGGATAGGCGGAAGAAAATGGATGGATGTAGGGAATCAAATCAATTTCCCCAGTCCTTGTCACTGTGTCCATTCCCTTTCTTTGAGAAATGCACCAAAAATGAGCTCCAGGTGATTTACAGTTGAAGAAGCTGTATCGCAGCTTATGAACTTGGATAGTGATGTAGATAAAAAATATTTCAGAGATGGAGGATCCTTCAGAGCCAGAGGACAATGCTATTGATGATCCAGTTTATCAATTTTCCCATGATGAGGAGGATTCAGAGGATGCATTTGCCAGTGTGCCTTCATCAGATAAAAACCAAGAAACGCAAAAATTTTCATCCACAGAGAGGACAGGGACATCCAAAGATGGTAAAATAAAATGGTGAACATCACCACACCAATGCCGAGGCAGATTGTCATCTTCTAATGTCATCAAAATGACTCTTGATCCGACAAGATTTGCTGTCACAAGAGTTGGTAATATTGAATCAGCATTCAGTTCTTCATGTCCCAATCCATAAAGAAGACAATCCTTGACATGACCAGTTTTGAGGGGAGGAATATCTTTCAAGAAAAATGGAAGCCACTGGATCCAACTGACTTGACTTGTCGACAAGAGAAAGACAAACTTGGAGCAATAAGAGATGTCTGGGATAAATGGGTTGAAATCCTGCTTTTATTGTATAGTCCTGGCCCCCATGTTTCTGTCGATGAGTGCCTCATTCCTTTGAGAAGATGCTGTCCACTGGCTCCCGGTCAAATCACGCATCGTCTTCAAAATTCTTCTTCTCATGTTTAAATCTATCCACCATGTTGCCCCTCCTRACATGTCCGACCTCGTACACATCTCCATCCCCTCCCGCTCTCTCAGATCCTCTTCTTCCCTAAACTTCCAAGTACCCTCTGCCCGCCTCTCCACCATGGGGAGCAGGGCCTTCACCTGTTCTGCACCTCTCCTCTGGAACTGTCTACCACCTGACCTAAGAAACACCACCTCTCTTCCTGTGTTCAAGACTGCTTTTAAAACACATCTCTTTAGATTAGCATATCCATCTTAACTTCATTTGTAAACAATGCTCTGTAACTCATGTCTGCTTGTTTCTAATCTGTATTTTCACACATTCTCCTATGATGTACCTTCTGCTGTAAGTGTCCTTGGGTGTTCTGAAAGGTGCTTTTTCGAATAAAATTATTATTATTATTATTATTATTATTATTATTATTATTA